ATTACTGGTACATGTGCTCTGCCAGTGTGACCTCCTGCCTGACACACCTCACCACCGTCACCTGTGAGCCCACGCCAGGGCTCTGGAGCCACAGACGGCTCTCTCCAGGAGCTGAAACACAGCAGTAAAACAATAAAACAACATGAAACGAGCTCCTGTGTGTGTTTGGTCTCTGTGAGATGAGTCCTGACAGACTCTGAAGAGTTGTGAGTTTGGTTTCATTTCTGTGCCTGCTCCCTCCAGGTGGCTGCTGTCTGAAACAGATGTGCCCTGTACATGAAAGCAGCTCCTCTTTTGAGCAGGAAGGTTTGTGAATACACTATTCCTGCTTAGTTAAGCCTGAACACGTCGTTTCAGAATCCTACTGCCTGCGTCTCATTTGCTTCTCGGGGACAGGGCTGTGCAGGCTCTGCCCACAGTCCCCCGAGTCCCCTCCTCTTTTAGGATGGTTGTAAATGGGAATACTGATTCACCATCAGTGACAAACAGAGAAACTGGATGACGTCATTCCAGTCGAGTGTAGGCCGTTGACTGGGACTTAAACCAACGTCCCTGCCCAACCTTTCTCCAAAACCAATGTTTTAGCAGTCTCCACCCAGCCACAGCACAGCTCCGTCAGTCTGACCAGTTATGTGATATAACTCGGTGGCCCGATTCTTTTATTGGAAGCCTGAGAATATTCCAAACAGATGATTAAAGTACAAAAATGTATTTATTCAGGTCACATGCAAAGTAATTAAGTGCTCGGCTCTCATCCCAGTCCATGAAGGTTCCACTGAGATCTCAGAACAAATGACAAGACATGTTTATAATGTCATAGAAAAAGAGAAATTCAGAAGTAAAACTGTAGACGTAACATGAGTTATGTGTCTGAGTGTAATTCATAGAATGAACAAAACCATTTGTAAATTATATGAAATCCAGAACTAAATCTAGTAATACAGTAAAAAAAAGTAATCCTCTAAAGTTAGTGAATATAAGTCAGTCCTAACAAATGTGTGGAAGATTCTTTATCTCCATCTTGAATGATGCACACTTAAATGAAGAAAAAAGCCTAAATGACAGTTTGTGGGTGAGCATGCTGTCCCCCACCAACCAGAGCTCCCCCCGCTCGGCCCACCTCATGAGTGACCACAGCTCCAACGGTCTGCTGGGGCTCTGTGTGGCCGCCCAGGACCCGGTCCAGGTCCTGGCCTGTTCTGAGTCTTCAGACATGGACGTTGTCATCTAACTCTACTCCTGTTCCGGTGGGGGCCTTTTCTCTGAAACAGATCATCTCATTGTCAGAGCAGGTTAACGGTCTCAATGACATGCAGTCCTCTGGACTCAGACTTTGGACAGCCATGTGTTTGAAGTGGCCGGCTGAATTTGTTTCTCCTCTTTTTCCAGTGTGGGAGAGGTCCACCAATGAATGCTGGGATTCCCACTAGGGATGCAAACGGTTAATCGACTTTAGATTAATTGTCGATCAAGAGGTTGCTCGATCAAAATGTATTAATCACGATTAACCGCTAGCGCTTTACTGTAACTTGAACACAGCGTGAGAACGAGACCAGGGTTGAAAACAAAATGAAGCGGGCGAAAAGAAGTGCGGTGTGTGACCACTTCAATATTGTTAATTCAGGCAAAGAAGGTTGTCATAGCGACTGTCCGCGACCACAAAAACAAGAACGTTGGGGCGTTAGCCAGCTAGCTCGCTAGCATAGCCACCTGTCCGTTAGCATTAGCATCAGCCGGAGAGATGATAGCGCGCTATCATGCAAGAACTGAGCCAGGTTTTTTTTTAATTAAAGATTTAGTTTTACCTTAAAAACGTGTCTGCTTTCTTCTCCTAATGCATAATTACTTGAGGAATGTATAATATAATACAATATAATTATGGTATCATAATGTTGGCTAATGTAATATAATACTTCAATTATATTAAGGCCCTATTGAAGCCCTGAAACTCAGGTGAAAAACGCCGCTTATCAATTAATCGAAAGTCGATCGATAAGATAATCAACTAACGATTAATGAATTAATCGATAATTTGCATCCCTAATTCCCACTTAAATAGTTTGTTGAGGTCTTTAAGGATTTCAGGTTCAGCACGATCAGCTGTTTCATTCCTTGGTGTTTTGCTGGTACCTCTGGATCATTTCCCAACAGAGCCCTTAGCTGTGAGACGATATGAACCAGTAGCTCCCAGATCCCAGACAAGGCTGATTGTTAGGGATGGCTGAGTTGACCCTGAAACATTGACATTACCACTTCTACATTCAGCAGATGTCTTTATCCACAGAAACTCCCAAGTATATTCCAGAGAGCAGGGCTGCATGGTGCTGTGGTGGTTCGCACCTTCACCCTACAGCAGAGGGTTCCCTGTTTGAATCCCAGCGGGGGCCTCTGTGTGTGGGGTCTGCATGGTCTCCCTGTGTGTGTGTACTCAGGCTTCCTCCCACAGGTTAAAATGGACCTGTTTCTTGGTGAGTCCAAGGCTGCCTGTCCCGTTTGTCTCTGTGAACTGACTGTGCAGGGTATGCCTCTCCTCCTGGAACCGGCGGTTATGGAACATGCATGCATGTGTTGTTCTGAAATTTTGAGATTAGTTCAATTTTACCGGACGCTGTCGGGTTTCTGTGTCCACACACACATTCTTTCACTGCTACCGCAATAACTTAGCACAAGCCATTTTTGTTATTTTGCCCTGACTGGGTGGATGATCTTTTGTTGTATTGTTGGTATTTTAATTTTGAAATAGAGCACAGGTCATGTTTTTTACTGTTTGGATCCAAAAACATTAGGTTTTGTTATAGGTGTGAGATAGTTTAATAATCATATATGATCAGGATTGTAATGGTTTAGCAGAGAGGAGGTGAGGCAAAGCCTTCTGTATTGCCTGCTCTTCTTCTGTGGTTA